GAATGGGCAACAATACTCGAGAATGGGAAGTACAAACATACGATAGAGCCTTAATTTAATTTCAGGAAGATAGAAATTGTAAGAAATAAAGCCACAAATCTGGGCAGCTTTGGCTGTAATTCTGTCAGCGTGCGGCGAGAGATCAAGATTACTAGTCGTACGCAAAATCTTTGGCAGATTCACCTATCCGTCTTCGTCGTGAATACATCCGGTCCAATACCTTATATATGGAAGGTTTCCAATGCCTTGCATAGTTTGGCTATCGGGGTCTTTTCGGATAAATCGGCGTCCGATGCCTTATCCAGTTGGGTGGTCGTCAGACTCTGCAGGATTGCCATGTTTTGGTCTTCGGGCGAATCTACAAGAAATGTGGAACAGTGAGCGACCGAGGTAGAAGGAAAAATCCTCCTTTTCATCATAAGCGGTTAACTTCGAACTGGCGCGGGCAACCAACCTTCGTGACCACCAATACAAACTGAAGAAAAAGTATGCCAAACTTGAAGTGCGGGCCAAATTCTTCTCCTACTGACTGGTTGAAGGATGGGATGATTTGCCGAGCTCCATTGTCTTGGCGGAAAACGTTGAGACCTTCAAGAAGACTTTAGAAATTTATGCTTGATGACCAAATATTTGCTTGATATCAATGACTGGCGTAACGTTTTTGTAAATATGCGCAAGCTTTTCATCCATCTACCTGAAAATAGGGCTTTCCAATGCTCTGCCTACATTCCTTATATATACTAAATTATACTGAACTTCAAAGAAAGATTAATATACAAGAAATGGTTGGAATGGTGTCGCGGAATGGAGCTCGAGGGCACCGCTGCCACCAATGCTACACCCAGGTCCTCCTTGTCCTCGACAGGTCTCGAATCGTCGGTTCCTTCAGGATCCTTCACCAGACGGCCAACTGAGAAAGATTCTCCAATTGATTGCTCATGCGACTCGATAGGCATAATGACACAATAGACCAACAGGCAATTGTCGACAGGGAGGGTATAGATAACAGTTTATTCAAATATAATGATGAAGAACAAGATAATGGGATAAAGAAGGTATAGCAAATTCCTGGATTAAGATTTATCAAGACGTTCCACTGACGATGCAATCTTAATCAGTTTCTGGCTGAACCAAAGGGAACGTAGTGCTGGAGGTTGCTACGTGGGGTGGGATTGGACCCCCAACTGTTGATCCTACAAGTACACAAAACAAAAATCCTGTCCGAAACAAACCACTTTCGTAAAACAAAAAACGGATCAGTTCCTTCTGCCGTATTATAGCGGCCGATGACGTCGAGGTTCGCACACACACTCGCGGTCGAATAAGCCACTTAGGGTAGATTTCCGGTTAAGTAACACCAGCCAGAGTTGTTAAACACCACACCGGACAAGCGTATAGGGATGTGACAAGAAAAGGAGTTTTTAGTATATGAAGTCTATGAAACAATAACAAATGCATAGAGAAGAAAAAGTAGGAGATAACGAACACAAAAATAGTGGGGTACTGTACAAATGATCGAATTGGAACGGGAGGTGGCCAAGTCATATCATGTGGGCACCAGTGGTATTGCAGCGCTGTCGACAACTGCGGGTAGGGACCGGGAGTGTGCTGACGGTAAAGGAGACAAGACACGGACGGATGACGAGAGCGAGGGAAGTGGTATCAGCGATAGGAAAGGGAGGAACACCAACCATCTTCACTGGTAGACGATCTCGGCGGACCCATCCGAGGTCCGCGCTAATAGTCCTCAGTTCTTTCAAACATCCCTGCCGAACTTGTGCTCTGTTACAGTATTGTAACGACCGACTGTTTTAAACGGATCTTTTACTTCTGTAGCGGCCGAGTAGGGTTGAGCTTGAGGATGATCGTAATGGCCTGACGCCGAGCACGATGGTTTGGGTTCTTTTTTGACGGGAAGTCAAGGAAAACTCCTCTAAAAGTTGCGTTACTCCCTCATACACACTGCCAAATGATAAGGGCGGCGTAGACATAGTAGCCAATGAGTGAAACGGTTATAAAAGGTTTATTGTCAAAATGTTATCAAGGCTGATAGAAAAATAGATTCAGAACAGTCTACTCTAATGATAGAAACGGTATGTACAGAGTTAGTAAAACAATGGCAAGGATACGACTCGATTTGGTGAACCGGTAAAACGAAATCAGCGAAAAAGAGTGACTAGGTATAGAATAAACGATAAGTATAGCACGTAATCGGTTCTGGGGAAGGCAAGCAGTAAGAAAATGGGACTTAACGGTGAGTTCGACGATAGGCATCGGCTCGTGTCCACGTGACCCGATTTCTGAAAGGGTAGGGCAGGAAGGAAAAGGTCCGCTTAAAACAATCGGTCGTTATAGTATCACGTTGTCTTCTGTTGCGGCCGAGGACGTCATGGGTAGCACACACCAATGAAAGAGGACGCTGAAAGTAGATCCTGGAGGCGATAGATCTGAACAGAGTCGTTAGCATCTCTAAATACTCATTCACACGCAGCAGAAGAGGGTACGTCAGGAACGGAATACAGTAAAGTATAACAAGACGGTCAAGGGAGATACGTATAATAATAATAATAATAATAATAATAATAATAATAATAATAATAGTTACTCGTACAGTTGGAATGAGTTACAGCCATCAGATAACCTGTCTGGGTGGGGAGGCGATACCGACATGTCAGCTCGTTAACCGGTGGGGAATGCAGCGCGGTGGGCAACTGTAGGGAAGGGCCGAGGGAGGTGCCGATGTTGCGAGATGGAGGGCGATGCGAGCGTTGCGGTACGGTAAGGGGGAAGGGATCGGCGGATGAGAGAGGAAGGGACACCGGCCATATTCACTGACACGCGGTTACGCCATCTCCACCCTAGGTCCTCGCGCGGAAAAGTGTCACACATTCAAACAATTCTGTTTAAGTCCAGGGGCGTTACACTTCTGTAGCGGCCGAGGACGTCAAGGGTAGCACACACCAGAATAAGAGAACGTTGGGAGTAGATCCTGGAGGAGAGTAATCTGAACAGAGTCGTTAGCATCCCTGAATACTCATGCACGCGCAGCAGAAGAGGGCACGTCAGGAACGGAATATAGTAAAGTATAACAAGACGGTCATGAGAGATACGTATAATAAGAATAGTTACTCGTACAGTTGGAATGAGTTACAGCCATCAGATAACCTGTCTGGGTGAAGAGGCGATACCGACATGCCAGCTAAATAACCGGTGGGGAGTGCAGCGCCGTGGGCAACTGCAGGGGAGGGCCGAGGGAGGTGCCGATGTTGTGCGACGGAGATCGATTCGAGCGTTACGGTACGGTTCGGTAAGGGGAAGGGATCGGCGGATGAGAGAGGGAGGGACACCGGCCATCTTCACTGACACGCGGTTACACCATCTTCACCCTAGGTCCTCGCGCGGAAAAAGTGTCACCTCATTCGAACAACTCTGTCCAAGTCCAGGGGCGTTACACTTCTGCATGTTTTAGAACAAGCTCAGAAAAAATAACCAATCATCCAGAGGCATGAACAACCAATAGCAAACGTCTCCGGCGCCCTACAACTCTATAAATCATCGGATCACAAATTGCACATGTTCGTCGCTGCTCTCCGCCTATTTTTGCACGTGGTATGGCTAGTAGATAATCTTATCGCATAATGTTTTCATCGGTATTTGATACTAAAAAGTTTACTCTTTAACATTTAAAGTTAATTAGCCCAAAGCGACTTGCACCACATGTGTGTATATATTTACGCACCTGACATGTGTCGGACGACATGTCATGACGGGCTACTTCCCTGACTCTGCACGTATATAGGCGGCGCTGACCCCATGTCTCAAGTAGGTCACTTTGTCACCAGCACTTACTGAGATTGAGGAAGAACATGGAATCCCTTGACGCCGTTGGAACTGTGTGTATGATTGTGTTTGCTGCGCAACGGTTTTCCCGAGAATGAAAAAATTTGAATATATCAATTATTGCTGCGACATGAATGATAGATAACTGTCATCATTAGAGTTTGGAATGTGGCGGTATTTTTTTTACGCACTGAAAGGCATAGTCTCAAATTCAGACTTCTCTTGAGAGGAGAGGGACATAATTTCTGCCCGTCAGTGGTATAAATCCCATGACAGGCGCACCTGCCAGTAGGCTGGCCGAAGGTTAAACGTGAGAAGAATCTCTGTCCGGCAAGATCATCGAGCGTTTCAATTGAAACGGATCGCCATTGTGAAAACATTGGGGCGTTGATAGTTTCCACACAAACGCCATTTTTGTCTGTCTCGGACATGTATTTGGTTTTCGATGATAGAGCTAACTCAGGCACGCCAGTGGCGTGCCCCATGTCATTTAAATCGTTAAACTCCATTTGGAAATGTGCTGGTGTCCAACTTGGTAGTTGCCAGGCGGGTTTCGCCGAGCGCGTGTCAAGCATGTGACGGAGGCGGTGTGCGACCTAAAAGTATTTGCTTTGGACGAAAATACCCTACTTACTGAGTGAAAACTGTCAGATGCCAGCTGAGTCCTAATTAGAGCCGTTCGACGCTCTCCGGCCAGAAAAGGATGTCCATTCTTGATTAACCAACGTAGTGGTTTATCTGTATACACGAAGTGATGTTTGAAATGTTTGCAGTGTGAGGCTGACTCAGTGGCACCACGCATTTCCGTCAGGAGGGGAGGGGGGGGGGTAAGGGGACTGACCACAATCCAAATAATGCTCGTCCTACCTGAGGCTGCGCATATACGGGTGGCGCTGGCCCCACGTCTCAATTAAGTCACTTTGTTACTGTGATGACGTGAGACGTGAAAATGAGACATAAATTCCGGAAGGCAACCAGGGGACTCCCATCTTTATCTCTTTTTTAGAACTTTGAAATTTTGCGTAGCTCGTCACAATTATGCTTGGTGAAGCAACCCTATATCGTGCCTATGCATAAGTTTCACGACTGCACTTACTGTTTACGTCTCACTCCTCATCATGTTTATTGATGGTCTTTTAGTTAAAGGACGCTGTTTACTTATGGGATCTCTGCCCCCAGGTACGCTAGCAACCACCGGCGTGCGACCTCTGCCTTCTGATCACGCATCATCGGTAAGTCACTAACCTGTCCTGAAATTTGCTTCCAGTGACCCCTGTTTTTTAACTTATCGACCACAGTTAATTTCAGGTTGTCCAGTGCCCGATTATGGCTATTCTGCACGAACTCTTTTTCCGACTTTGTTTTGTTCTCAGGCAGAAAAGTGTTTTGACGCCTTTGCAAGTAATTTCTCTGGATGAATTTGCATGCTTGCACTCAAAAAGTAGATATTTTGGCTTGGATTTCTTCATGCTCACTTCGTCCTCCGCAATCCGACTTTTGAGGTCGTCTACTCTGGGCCATGAGTTCAGCGCCGTATACTTCTAGACCCTGATAACTTTAAATGGTTTGTCGCAAAAAGTACATCCTTTAGTTTGTAGTTCAACCCATTGTTGTCATGAAACTCGCTCACGATTCCCCTCAAAATAGTCTACATCTTAACTGCAATATTTTGACATTTCCGGTCATATTGTTTTCCTACACCCTTGCCTGTTCCATTGACACACAAGGTCAGGACGACTAGAGATGGGTGTGGTCGCAGCCACGGTTTCGACTGAAGCCACACCCACCCGTGCCCCACCCATTAGCGCCCACACGTACATAAACCAGACCAAGTAAACTTCACGTGAAATGTAGGTGAGAGAGATCATGAAGACCACATAAAGACGGAACCATCGCAACCCGTCTGTCAGTCCGAAGGATGGCGAGTCATCTCATCAGTTGACTATCTTCCGATCCACGACTTTCAGCGCGCAGTGGTAGTTTAGTGCACTACAGCGAGAAGATTAAATTTTAAACATCGATCGGTCTTGCCCTTCCATCTCGCATCATCTGTAAGTGACAAGGCGGAATTAAGACGGACGGGGATAATGAGAGATTACGCAGTGACTGGCCTGATGTAAATACTCTTCTAACATGTAGCACACCGTGGTTCGACTGTAGTAGGCGACGAGTTCCACCGTTTCATGAGGTGGGCGCAGCTGTGACATAAGCACTAATTGGTTTATCCTAAATTAGGATTGTCTTGTATCTGCCTCAGTCTCTCTTCCGATACTGTCTTCCGACGTCAAGAGGAAGTCAGGGTGAATGGATCTGGGCTTGAAAGCCATAGCTAACAGACGTAACGGCCCATTTAGGCGTGCTTCACGTGACGTAGTCCCTAACTTCACGTGTACCAGGTCTCCTTCGATGGAATCGAGGTTTCAGATCCTACCTGAGTAAGTGCGTTACAATCCAATTTTGGATGGTGCCAATGCTGTCCGAGTCCCAGTTATAAGTAAACTAGTTTTCCCTCCAAATGTTTCTCCCGCCTGCAATTCAAAGCTGGTTTAGAAGGTTTTTAGTACTCGAAGTACAGCGCAGTGTGATGTCTTAACTCTACTGGTGGTCGGTCCTGTAGGTCAGGCACATTTTCTTCTTCAGGTAAAAATTATGTCCAAGACTGTTGCTCTTCCCTAACCCGTGTTCTAAAGTGAAGTTCTGGCAGAGAATTTTGTCTACTACCCATTGTAGTAATCTGTGATTAAAATTATCTCACAGACCATGGGCGGTCTACGTTCGCCAGTCAATACCAGAAGCTTCAAAATCCCCAGCACTTAGTACCTCTTTTTTCTTACTGACTGTTCACTTCAGATATGAAAATGAGATCGTGGTCATGGTAGGGAGTGCACTGCTGATTTGTCGTTGGCGAGGGTACTTCGTTATGAGCTTCTCCCCTCCCACACATTAATGGCCCGTCCGAACCTTTCGACCTGGTGATAAGTTTGGGCACAATGTCTGACGCGTTGTAGAGTCTCCAGCTACTGCGTGTGAAGTGAGCTAACGCAAATGGGCACAATCACTCCTCATTGCTAACGTTGTTGAGTATTACTGTAGGGTTGGTGAATAGGCGATGAAAGGTCTTTGTGTGCGCGCATTTGACCGCAAACGTCCACCCAGTGACTGTAGGAAGACGGTGTGAGCTTTAGTGCTAGATTGTATGTTAGTTATCACTGTCTTGCATGCACATTTGACAGGACGTGTGGGTGCGGTTTGGGAAAGGAGGGTGTTAGTGACGACTGTTTTCTGTAGCTCAAGAAACTGGCCTTCCAGTCTCGCTACAATATGCATATTCGCAGGTCGCCAATCAGATCGATGTGTGGTTGGATTATACGATTTCAACATAAACCAGTTCACAAAACTTCTTCATTGCTTATGGTGATGGCGATTATCGTCTAAGTCCTGACAGCGTTCCTGTCAAGGGAACAGGGCAAGCTAAGACTATAATATAGTGAGGAAAGGTGAAAGGGCTGTCCTCAATAGTAGTGTTTGTTGGTGCAGGGGGTGAGTTTACAATGTTAACACTGCAATGAGTCCAAGGGAGCCCAGCAAGGCCAATCCAGACCTCGAACGCGCTTTGGCAAGGGGGATGTAGAAGGGAATACCAAAAAACAAGGGAGACTGGGCTGGCCAATTCTAACTTATTAGTAATCGTCAGCCTGCCGTATCTAACTAAATCTTTGCCTTGACAGAGGTTGACGGCGCTGGTTCTCGATATTCGAGTTTTTCGTGTCCATCGTTTTGCCGATATCGGCATCGGTTTTGCTGGCCGTTCGGCATGCCTGCCGGTCCTGTGAAAACACCAGCAAGGTCTTTTGATTTATTAGAAAACGGCTTATAGATGTCCTCAATATGTCCTTCTATCATCGGCTTTTCCAATCTGTCTACAAGCACCCATAGCCACACCTCCATAAAAGAGTGAGCTTGACATGCCCTCGTAAGTCATCCTCACTGTACGGCAACTGTGTCGCGGCTGGATGTGATTCAGCACGGCATACAATTTCACCATGCCAGTCGACGCTAGCACCTGTTTGTTCAGAATCCACTCCTGCTATCTCACTGTTAGTAACTTTCGAATACAGTTTATGTGAAAGCGGTTCTACCTTCACGCTTGACTTTGGCAAATTATGCTCATCCTCACTGTATAGACGTTGTATAGATGGCAGCCCTGGACACCCAGAGTTTGTTTCTGAGTAGGATGTCACGGCGATTCGGGGATAAGTGTTGAAGTCTGATAAAAGCCTAGCTGGTTTTACAAATCTGGGCTGCAACACCGTCGTATGTTGTGATGAGCGATAAGATGGTACTGTCCAGGTAAAATGAGTTGCATGTTGCTGCGAGACAGCTAGTGTTGACAGTTGCCGTGGGTTCGGCCTATTCAAAATTTGGCACCGATTAATGCACGATAACAGTTTTCATTATTTTGCCGGTTAGTTCAAAGTTAGCGCATCCGGAGCCGGATAGGTTGAGACTTCGCTGCATGTAAGCCGTTTGTGGTGTTCAGTGAGCTGTTGTAGCGGTGGTCATGTAACCTGATCTTGGAGGTTCTTGTGATGGCCTATGTGCGGCGGACGTCGAGTGTCTTACCGTAGGTTCGATGCTCGGTCGATTTATTTGCAGGAGTCCGTCTGTGTTTCGGAGATGAGACTGAAGATGGCCACACGAAAATGTAGCATTGTTTCAGCCAGTTTCTCGCCGCGGACCCCCTATGGATGCGTTGTCCTCCATACATCATCATGCCATCATGAAGCTGTCTGACCATTTTCGTGGACTATTCTGAATTTCTTCATTACGTTCCAGAGATCATCTAATTTTGCAGTGTCCGAGGCCTTGGCGAGACTTTGTAACGGCCGCACTAGAAGAGGGTGTAACCTACGCTGATCGCAATTAGCTCCTCCTCTCCGGAAAAATGGATCTTGCTGGCCGTGGCGATGTCCTCATTAAAATGAACCAGTTTTAGTGTCACCGAAGCTGTTGTACTCTCTTCTCGCTTAGGCACTAGATTATCTAAGAGGACACGATCATTCCAGGTTGTCAGACCGGGCGAGGTGAAGGCGATAGGAAGGCAGAGACAGGGACCGTTGTTCCGTATGGTGTCTCGACCATCTGGCTTCCACTGTGTACAGTCAGTTCGCAGACTGTGGGCCTACAGGCATTTCTCTTGGGTACGTTTTACAGTCCTTTCCTTGTATGGGGTAAGTAGTGCTTCCTTGATTAGGACCTGTTTGGCATCCCAGCCGTCTGCCAATTTGCACCGAGTAACGAATCCGGTTTGGCGTGAAAACGACCGGAACTGTTGTCCCTCTATCGAGAGGTCTTTGCGAGGTGGAGGTACGGTGAGCGGGAGTACGGAAGTTGCAGTGGGCTGGCCCTACGGTCTCTGTCAGTGCGTACCGTCACGCAGCTAGTTCATTTTCGCTAACTTGACCAAGCTTCACACGACTTCATGGAGTCACATAAGACCGGGGTATAAATTGTGGAACGAGCGGGACAACCATTACCTGCACCAGGACACATGGAATTACTTTTTCATCCTTCCTAGATGCACTACCTACCTGTGCACCCCCATGTACTCCGCGAGGGCAGGTAGGATGAGTCGCGCATCACCTTACAGATTTCAAAAAAGTGTCTGGGGATGCCGTGGATTTCTGGGCGGAAGTAGTTACTGGACTCCACGAGGATGACCCGTCCGAGAGTGAGCAGATCCATCATCAGTAATCCTGAGAAGGCGATACAACTGCATTGTAATGAGTTCAGGCAGAGTTCAGGCCTCCAAAAGTGTTCCACTATTTATGATTTCATGATTTGAATGGGGCCAGTTACTGATGGAATTAGTGCCTATTCAGTGTGCAATGTTTAAATACTGCTTATTTGAACTAATTAACGGTTATTTCGTGAGGATGCAGACTATGGAGTTATCTGACTGCATGAGTTTCTTATTGTTCTAGTTTGCGTTGAAGGATAAAAGAAATAGTTTCAACGTACAACGCTATGTTCTTCCCTTCTGAGAACTTCGCGACTGCGGGCTTTAGTCTAACTAGGTACACCGTATGGTTGGGTCTTAGGGCTTACTGAAGCAGACTGAACAATGGCGCTGCATGTTGAGCGATATTTGAGTATTTGTGCACCTTAGAAGCGAGATGGTTTCTCGTACGAAAGTTATTCGGTGACACACCTGAGGAGTGTTTCCTTCCTACTACTACCTATGTTCCTTCGACAGTCTACCTGCCCGAATTCAGATCTGACGCCGTCTAGCTGTATTTGAACGGTGTACCTTATGATAGATCGGGACGAACCGGCTACCCACAGTTCTGAGCGCGTCCTTTTTTATAAGCATTGCCTTAACGGTTTTATATTTCGCGTGGAAAGCCCCTTGCTGACGGTAGGAGAGGATATCCGGTTGTGAGTACAATTCACTTTGGCCTTTTTCTTCTGCTCACAGCTACTGGTTGCAAGTTCCGATTTCCATCCTCAACATCAGCGTAACTGGCCTGTGCTAACGCAGGCGCTTCAGCAGATCTACCGGTTCACTCTGGGTGGAATAGCTGGAGCCACCGGAGGCACAGCTGTCTATCCGATCGACCTGGTCAAAACGCGCATGCAAAACCAGCGGACAGCAGCGTTCAAGCCCGGGGAAACTGCAGTTTATCGCAACAGTCTAGACTGTTTCCAAAAAGTCCTCAGGTAATACCTTCTGTCCAGGCAAAATTCCAGTTGGACGATAGTTCTCTTGTGTTTTTCGATTGTGACGAACAGTTTGCTCAAAGAACGACTTGCAAGAATGTATAACTTCGTTTCAACGATTGTCTGCAGCTAGGACTTCAGGTTCGGCGACCAAGCGGACTTAGGTTCAAACGCTTGATTGTGCTGACATGGGATCGCTGTGTGACTGGCTGCGTAGACATAAAAGCCATACGTTACTGTTTCATTCCCCCTTGGCTCTGTTGGTAATTCATCACCATTAACTGCGACAATTCGTCTGTCGCAAATGACGATAACTACCGAGGGCCACGGAAAAGATACAGGCGGATTGCGAAGCGCCTATCTAACTACAACAATGGATTCAGATCGCAGGTGCTTTTTATATCATGCAAGCGTTTGATGACTTTCACAGGACAAGGTGCGCGCATGTGTCATCCTTCTGTTAACTGACACCGTAATAGTGGACTTGCGCAGCATCAGCCGCATTCTCACCTCCCCACTACCCACCTGGTGTCAAGACAGAGTCAAGAAGACCGGAGGCGGGGGGAGGGCGCAGGTGGATGGCGCGGTCGGGCCCGCACCTTGGCGTTTCACTCCACACCCTCTGGTCCACACAACAAATAGCCAGGTTTTTGACCAACAACCACAGCAACAACCATAACACTCCAATCGGGGCCAGAAGGACTATAATGACTAGTAAGGGCACACTGATACCTTCAATAACGTGCCGTTGAATCATGCAAAATCATGGGATACCATGGCGGTCTGGCAGAAGAATGGTAGTTCGGGACATGAGGGAATAGTGCCACAGTTTCTACTCGATAGTCACACATTCAAGACTTGGGTTACCCGTTGTGGTTGCTTGCGAGTGCACTCCAATTCTGACACCACGACGACAACGGAGAGGGGTCACACCACAATACATCAATCCCTTTGAAGTCCTTTCCCCAATTGCAACGCACATGCCGGGCTTGGATGGGTCTCTTTAGACACCTGTTCACTCACCATCTCTCCGATAGCGTAACAGCACTGCAAATTTTCACGCACTGTTGGCACCTATGAGGCAGACTGGAATTACCAATTCTGGTTTATTTTCCCTCTCAGTCAGGCCTACCCAAGTCCCAGCCCGTGAAGATTTTGCATTTGGCCCAGGGTTGTGCTAATAACGGATCCCAAGACCGCACAGGTTGAGTCTCAGACTCACTCCCTCAGCTGCGATCGAGTATATTGAAGTACGCGACTCCTCGACTGCCTATACAGAACCAAAAATTGGTATTGTGTTCTGGAATGCCACTTCGGCTTTCATGCTGTCATGCACTACGTCATACTCAACACTTACTGTCTTCCATATCTTGCAGTCTGGAAGGCTTTCGAGGTCTTTACCGTGGCCTTGCGCCCCAACTCGTCGGCGTGGCCCCGGAAAAGGCGATTAAACTCACAGTGAACGACTTCCTTATCGACTTCTTTCGCACACCGAACGGTGAGATCTCGCCGCTGGCGGAGATCATCTCGGGTGGTTGTGCCGGTGGATGTCAGGTCCTCTTCACAAATCCTCTCGAAATTGTGAAAATCCAGCTCCAAGTAGCCGGCGAAGTCTCCAATGTTTTGCGACCTTCGGCAATTCAAGTGAGTTAACACAGACAGGCAAACCCGACTGACTTTCTTCTATTCGTATTACTTTATGGAATGATTCGATTATTAATTTGACCCAATTACGAGAAACTCTGCGGGCTCGGTGGGATTCGGACCCACGACGGCAAGGGCAGGGCTTGAACGCGGCCAACACTCTAGCCACCTGAGCCACGAGGCCCCAATGATAGCCGTGAGTCTAATCACATTTGGGTCAAGTTACCCGCCCAACCCACCGCAGCGAATGAAATCCTCCAATTCTGATACCGTAAGCCGACTGCCTAAGCATGATTTCCTAAGCAATCATTCTAGAGTCCGCCGGGTTTTTCACAATTGGGTCAAATAAGCTACTCAAATCTGTCAAAAATACCAATTCATTCGATGATTGTTTCCTCTCAGATAAAGTTGGAAGAGAAGCACATTGCAGCAGTCATTCCTTCAGGTTTGTCCTCTTGCCCATTCTAAAGTGGCGAATGTCGACCATGTAAGAAGGCCTCCTCGGCCATTGCCCTTTCGTCATTAAGGTCCCACTCGTAGGCCAAGCGTGACCTTTGACCTTCCTCCTATCATATCCCCACGCATCTCCATGACCAGTCACGACCGATACCGTGTACTCCGCGGCCGACTAGACTACTCTTGGTGCCAGCCAACACAGCAATTACGACTTTGCGGTCCAGAGTTGGGATGTGGTTGTCTGAGGACTTCAAATAGGCCAGCAGTGTCTTTCAGTTTACCTTGCTTTGTGGATAACTTGCTCGGTTATTCATTGCTCGTTTCTGTTCAATCGCTTGCGAGAGCTCTAGGTCGGAGCCTCAACGCAAAACGGGATTATTTGTATTCCTTTGCGCGATTTCTGATAAGTAAATGAGCGCTAATTTAATGCATACTGTCTGTCCGTTTCAGTTCGTTTTAGGGACCAGCGGTTCGAGTTCCTAAATCAGTGAGGTGTGACTTGTCTACCAACGTTTTCAGGTGCATTTCTAGTATTTTTCGGCCTTCCAATTTTGCATGTACAGACTCAGTTGCTTCATTGTCCTCATTGTGTGATTCCCTAGATAGCCAGCATGTTTTCGGCGCATGTGCAGTTTTCCTTGTTTGGCTGCATAGAGGAGTGCCCATGCGTCGCTGTTTTGGAATGCTGCATGTTTAGGAGTTATTACTTTACTTATTTGTTCGTCCCACTAAATGTTGCGTTGTTTTAGTGACGTGTTCGGTGGTAGTCGCCTATCACTGGCTAAATTATGCTCAGGCTGACTAGTTTTGGGAGAATTTCAACTGACATTTGCACGACTACCTCATCCTATGTCTTGCTTTGCATTTCGCACCGGTTTAATTGGTATATTCTGATCTGCAATCTTGGCTTGATCATACTGGGTTGACCTGGTTTGAAACGTCTCCCCTGGTGCGACTATTGTAGATTGTCAGCCGCTTGGGCCTGTTTGGACTCTACAGAGGCTCCAGTGCTTGTTTCCTCCGCGACATCCCCTTCTCGGCCATCTACTTCCCCGCCTACGCACACCTGAAGCAACTATTTGCTGACGCTCAGGGGCACACGGGCCCACCGGGCCTCCTTTTTGCTGCCACCCTGGCCGGCGCGCCTGCGGCCGCGTTCGCCACTCCCGCAGATGTGGTGAAGACTCGGTTACAGGTGTGGTTTCCATTCTCCCCTCCCCCCCCCCACATCCTCCCCGACCTCTATATTTTTTGTAATCGGTACAGCTATGAACATGCTTGATCTAGCCGACCTCGATGGTGTCACGCATTGTACCTCTCCACTCGTGACGCTAGCGGCTCTAGGCAGCTCGACCAATTCTCTTCCTCAACGACGACGACCGAATACTGAGAGTTCAAGAACCATCATGTCGTGAATTATGTCGAGCCGCATTTTGAATTGACCTCTTCAAGGCATCCAGACGGACAGCGGCGTGAACCGGGGCAGCAACACTGAGTTCGTAAAGCCAAAGACAGAAAACGTGGTCAAACCATTCCCGTCATCTTCCCTGGGTGATCTCAGAAACCCTTGCGATATTATCACGGCGAGTACGGGCTGTTTAATTCGAGACAACGTCGGTGTAATTCACTCGAAGAAGAGTCCTCAGGCAGCGGTAGACAAACCTCCAATTTTCGTTTATCTGCGATGCGAACAGCCCTGCATTCACAGCTGTAGAGGAGGACGGATGCCTAATACATGCAGATCCTTGCTGTGATGGAGATGGATCGCTCGGGTAGTGTTGTGCTTTGGCCAGAATCGGGAGTCTGCCTTTGTCTTCGCATGCATGACCACCTAGCGGTTGGGCTTTCCACGTCCTACGGTTACTTTGTTATTTGGTAGAAAGTAGTGTCTTGCGGACACGACCCTGATCGCAAGTACTTTTGGGAGTCAGCCGAGCAGATCACACAAAAATCAGGGTGATCATCCCCGGTCATCCTTAAAGTAGCCGCGAATATCTCCTGAGTTTTCCAAAATGGACGGTAGACCCAGTTATGTGAACTGACTTCGAATTTTTCTGGTACTCGGACTGGGCATCAGGAAATTTGTGGGGCTTTTCGAGCTTCGCAGGCCGCACCCATTTAGTAGTCGTATCTAACCTGAGCCCCGTTCTCCGTTGCTACTTGATGAGGTGCAAAAGTGAAGGACGAATTGACGTCGGGGCGGTATTGAAGCACAAGTCGAACACTGACTGGATCGTTTTGTGAAATCGACAGCTTTTCACTGGTTTCCCTCAAGCTCGCTCTGAACTATCATTACCGTGTGTCTGCTCACTTTATTAGGTATTTTGCCATCAATGTTTGATTTGAAAACCCCGCTCATAACCTCCAAGCGTCCGCCCAAACACTCAACTTTTTCTTTTGCCCGTAACTCCTGTACCTACAGGTGTTTCCTCGGCCCGGGCAGACCACGTACACCGGCATCCGACACGCCATCGTCACAATCTGGTCTGAAGAGGGTGGTCGCGCCTTTTGGAAGGGTGCAACGGCTCGTGTACTCCGCTCCAGTCCCCAGTTTGGCGTCACCCTGCTCACCTACGAGATGCTGCTACGTCTATTCCCTGTGAAATTTTAAATTTGTGCAAACAGCATGGCATGCTCACGTAAGTGTACTCCAGCTCTTGCCTCCCTAAACGTACCTTATCTAAAATTTCATATGGCCCTTAGTGCTTGTGAGGGTGGACAGCTGAAGGGTTCAACTACGGGGACATTCTGCCTTCAATGGGTCTCCAACGTTCCTCTTATGTCTCCTGGCCTACACTCTCGTTTGTAATTGCACCAAAGATTGCCACGCGAACTTGATATCATTCGATTCAACTATTCGTATTCATTCCAGACAAACCCCAAAAAGTCGTTTCGCGGGATGCATTAATTTCGGGCAGAATTATAAGTCTTCCACTGTCTTTTTTCTTTATTACAACTAGACTGATTATCTGGATTCGCAGAATTAGTTTCTTTAAAATGGGAACTTATGGTGACCTTTAAGGGGAGAGTCAGTCTTGACCGACTTGAGTGCTATTTTGGAAGGGCTCCCTTTTAAGTACATTTGCGCACGTGTAGAGTAGCGGAAACTGCCAGAAGTACTAGTGAGCTGTTGGAGCCTTTAATTTGCCCTGGGTCGTGCCGGTCCTCTTATTTAGTGGGCCATTAAGTAGTTTTCACTAAACCGGTGTATTTTACCGCTTTCTTCTTATTTTAGCTTCTACACAGATGTGAAAACTATTCTGGCATTCTTTTCATATGTTTTTTTACTAGTTTTGCGACCGGGGTTTTTAGACTATTTGAAACATTCCATATCTCTAACTTTGTGTACTCTTTGACTTATTCCAAGTATCGTGCGCCCTCACAGACCCAATAAATGCTGATAAATTGACTTCTTACATTCCCTTCACTAGCAGGAGCAGTCTGCTAGTGCAAAATGTGATCCCGCTTGTGCTACGGCTTTGAGTCATTGTTATAGGTTTAGGTACTAGAGACAGCGCCCCGATCTTCCAACTTATCCATCAACTTTTGTCCGAATCACTTTTCCTTCCTAGCATCACAGAGTTGACGACGATTGTAAGACCTGTCGGGGAAGGCGCCACCAGCTTGTTAGTTTTCCTGTCAGGTTCCCGTCGCGTCCACCAGTCGTGATTGTAGAGCCGGCCTTTAGCGCCGGTTATCTGCCAAATACGATGGATCTCGAGTCTCATCCTGTGATGATGCTAGTACTTGGTATTCCTTAACCGCCGTTAAATACAGTAAGTCCAGGAAGTCATGAGGTTGAATGAAGTCCTCGAACTGTCAAGTAAAACATATGACTGAAGTAAACTTGGTCACAAAGACCTCTGCAAAGAAGGCCATTTGTCTAGTAAAGAGTATGAACGACTAAGGCCGGCGGGCACGACAATACCAAGAATGTACGGCTTTCCTAAAATCCACAAACAAGGGCTGCCCCTACGTCCAATCCTGGATATGAGGAATTCGCCCTATCACACCGTTGCAAAGTGGTTAGTGGATAGACTAAATCCACGGCAAGGTCACCTGTATCCTCGAATTTTGAAAGACTCCGTTCAGTTCGTTGAAGCTATTAAAAATATTAACGTTATAAGACCGCCTTTTGCAGGGGACACAGAGAGCGAACTAGTCAGACGGCGCTTAACTACAGCTATCACGAGAGCATTCCGCGCGACGAACTTACGCGTATGTTTCAAAAACTCTCCCCTCCTACGTTTGGGAGGTGAAGACAGACTACCGTTGGAGGCCACATCAATGTGCATTTACTCATCCACTTGCTCCTTTGGAGCGGCATATATCGGCCGTACAACGAGACGCCTGGTAAAGAGGGTGCGTGAACATATGCCCGCCTGGCTAGACAGGTGAGACCTGATCGATTTCGATTTCTATTCTAGCACATTTAATCGATACGGATCACCGAGTCGGTGCCGAAGAAGCATTTCAGGTTGTCTATCGGACACCAACAAGCTTCTCTAAATGCCTACGCCAACGGATACTAGCCACGGCCGGGCAGTGGATATACGGTTAGCGAATCCGGTGTTATGCTGTCAGAATACCCTGACACAAGCGTTCTCTCTGCCATGGCCAACGCCAACCCCAAGTGATGACGACATGCCGCCTCAAATCCCTAATTACAGTGACGGGGACTCCTTGTACTCAATCCAAGAACATCACTCAAAGACTCTCTTACCCCCCTCCCCTAACTCTAGGGACCAAAACCCGCCGACCTCGTCATGCGGGCGGCGTGGGGAAGATGAGCGTTAATGAATTAATAGCCCATGAGACACTGTTAATTTTGTACATTTTCATTCCTTCGTGTAATTGTATTGGCCTGAGGAAGAATTACCGAAACACGTGTTTGCCAACTTGACTTTTTATACTTGGTTCGTTGGAAGCCCAGAGCCTTACACATGTCGTACGAAAACATTTCTGTTTTCAACCGAATGATTTAGGAAGTTAGCTTTTGAATGCTCCTTTTAAAGATGAGAAGATTTTGGATAGACCTGAGAATACACACATGTTGCATATGGCTCGGAAGGTAACCAGCTTGCGATTCAACTCAGACCTCACAGCCAGCCTAGTGTATCTGTGGGTCTGTGAAGTGGCTGACAGGTACACCTACAATCAGGCTGCAATGGCTCCTTTCTAATGTGGCCTCCATGGCACTCGCACATACCTCCCTTTGTGTGAAATCCTGATGTGTTGTGCAGGACATCAGGTCGTGTGCGTGGCACGCGCAGTCATCTGCCCGGCTCGGACGGGCAGCTGGTGCCCGGAAGAGAAAAAGGAGATTGAGGTCGACTCTCAGTGCGTATTCCTCACGATAAGCAATATGACACGCTTGAGACCATCACGATACACTTAAAGCCGTGACTTGGAAGACTACCACTTGACGGGATAACTCCTACTTGTCTCCCCTTATCTGTGTGAAATCCTGGCTGTTTATGTGTAGACCAGGCGGTTTGGTGGCACAATTAGACACAGGCTGGCGCCGTAGCAGCTACCTGCGCCCTCTCCCGCCTCCAGTCTTCTTATGCTGTCATGACAACTGACGCAGAGGGATGAAAGAGGAGAGAGTTCTGTACTTGGAAAGCAAGTCTTATATCACTAAACTGATTCGTGCAGGTCACCGTCCCTACACCCATCCCTCTGTTGGGCACACGGCGGGCATCATGAGAAACGACGACCGAACTGTCAAATTGTTGTTAGGTCGTGATTTTTTTCTGAGTAGTGTGAGGACTGTGAAGATCTTCGCTGAATATCCAGCATGCCATGGTTAAGGAGTCGATCTGAAACCACGACTTAAATTTATCAGTACGTTAATCGGCAACGACTCAATATGAGACCCATTTCAAATAACACAAGATAGGTCCACTTGCCTGACGGGACCGGTGGAAGGAGGGGTTATACGGTTGGGGCAAATGGGTGAAAAGGTTGACAAGCGGGAAGGGCTTTTGTGACGACTGTTATAAAAAAACATGAATAAACTAGAGTAAGTCCGTTTGCAACCTTGAAAACGAACCAGGAAATTAAAATAGGATGATATCTAACACCATAGCACCAAAATTCACCAAATATAACACCCGTACAATAATAACTCTAAGATCAGAGACCAGGGCACTGAAGTGGCCAATGAAACCCAGGGACATACGGTACTGAAGACCCCATAGGAGTAAAGCGCGAACGTTGACCCAACCGCAGGACGCTATGCTGCAGTACCGCGAAGAACGTTTAGATGAACGAGGTGTCCAACAAAGGTAAGTTTAACCAAATGAACTGCTGAACCTATGCCTAATGTCCGAATAGTTAATATCTAAGTGAAAATAAGAGAAGCGATTACTAATGACGCACAATCTTCTTGTATTATTACGATAGCAATGCCAGTATGCAACATTAGTGTAATAAAGTTGTGTTTTTATATTGTAGAAATGCTGTGGAGAGGCCTCCAAATGCTAAAAGAAGGCGTACTCAAGTCGATGCGCCCTCAAGGGTGGACAGCAGTAGAAGAGCAATTGAAACGCCCAACGTGTTATCGTATTGTCAGGGAAAAGGCCTCCTGCCAACAATCCAAGCCTGCGCATACCGCAAACCGATGAGGCTGCATAAGAGGAATATGTGTGCACTGACGGTACTGTTTTTCAGTGCAGATGTCACAGTCGGAAGTCAGTTCGAACCGGGTCGATCTTTGAAGGCAGCCGCGTCATCATCACGAAGATAATGAAAATGATGCTGGCGTTCGTAAGAGGAGACAGACTGAAACAGTGTGAGCAAGAAGTAGAGATAGCGCACAACACAGCGTCCAGCTGGTATCGCGCATGCCGCGACGTATGTTCAGCCGCCTTGATAAAGATAACCAGGCAACTTGGCGAGCCCGTAATTTAAGTGCAGATTAATGAAACAATGGTCAGCAGAAGGAAATATAATGTTGGACGTATGCGAAGGCCGTACTGGGTACTCGGCATCTACGATAGCCAGCAGCGGAAGGCTGGGAGCTGGCCCTCTATTAGAGCCATGATAAAGAAATGGGTCGCCCCCGGCAGCATAATAATTACGGACGAATGGAAGGCACACAGTGCCCTACCTGCAGAAGGATAAGACCAATGCACTGTCAACCACTCCAGGAATTTTGTGAATCCCGAAACAGGCCACCACACAAAGGCTATCGAGGCGTATTGGAGCCGTCTGAAGAGAAAACTGCGAGAAAGTGGACCGGTCTCCGGAAGGTCCCTCTCGGCTCATCTGGACGAAACCCGGTACAGAATATGGTACCGTCTCGACCGAAGTGATCTGAATGTGACCTGGAATACCTTTCTTGGACATCTTGCCCAGACATTTCCCGTTAAGCAGAACACTCCACGCCGAAATATGTCCAACCTGTAATAAAGTCTTTTGTAAAAAGGTCCCTTAAACGAATTATTAGTGTTTCTTTTAACTTGTGTTAATATCGCTTGTCCATACGCGCGGGGAAAGTGGCTGCGATGGTTGTGGCAGGGAAAAAACGGTCGCTGAGAGCGACATGGTCAACGAAGCCGAAACCGGTACCAGATACGGCAAACGAAAGATTACATGCAATGCTGA